TGGGGCGTCCCGCCCGTGAGCGTGACGTCTTGTGATGATTGTTTCCCTCTCCTTATCTCTTGGTCTTTCTCGTCCGCAGTGAGTTCTCTCGCGCACTTACTGTAGCTCACGTTCGTTGTCTGTCTTTTTCCGACTTTGGGCGACCTTTTGTCTTGTTTGAATTGAGGCGAATGTGGTCCTTTCTTCTGGTATTAGTAACTTCTCTTACTTCTCCTCTCCTTTCCGCGTACTAACTCTTCCCCTCTCTACCTCCCCTCCTCTCATTCACCACTCGTGTTCATGCCTTGCTCTTGGAGGCCACGCCCTGAGGCGTGGCGTGGTATGGCTATGAAGTTCCCGCCACTTTCGACCACTCGTCCTTTACGAAATCGAAGCAATGAATCACGCATGTGTACGTGTGCGGCACAGGGGTTCCGTGGTGCGAGAAAAAGTTACCGTGGCGCTGGCCTGTGAATTGGCGCTGGTGCGTTGCGTTAACGCTAACCGGTTCGGCGCTTGCGTCTCCGAATGATTAATGAGCCCTATTTTCATAATCCGTGATTTTGAAAATTTTGGGGGAGGGGCCTGTAGAATTCAAAATTGGGCAGCCCTTGCCTAGAATTTTTTTTTTCGGGCCAAGGGCGAGGACAGTTTCCGAACTCGTGTGGCGAGTTGAACATTTTTTCTGAGGGGGGTGCCGTAGGAAATTACAAAACCCCTACTTTTCTCTCTTTTTTTTTGGACCTTAATTTTTCCGGTGCGCTGCGCGTGCGCAAATCCGCGCACCGAGGTGCGCCGCAACTACAATAAAAACGCATGCTGCCTCTGTTAAGGATGGTGATAAGAGCACCCACCCCTAACAGAACCGCGAGTGACTCCAACTTATTGGTGGGGAGTAGCACTTGCTTGAAACGGGTCTAGCGTCCCTGATGTTTAACATATAAATAGTAAAGATCATAAATGGTGTGCCACTTCTTCATACTACAAAAAGTCCTCCTGATACCCCTTTACCCCTAGCAGCAAACACTTTAAGATGAACACTCAACCCGCCCTACCATACTATTGTAGATCTGCCGAGGCAAGCTCGGATGGGGGGAAGGGATCAGGAAACAATTCTGGAGACCTCAATGAAGCTCCTGGCTGGACTTTGAACCAGTCTTGGAAAGTAATATGATAGTCCCTCTTAAAAGAGACCTTATCCCCTTCCCCTCCTGGCCAAAATACATCCCCCAGTCTCTCCCCTAAGGCATCCCCCAACCAGTCGAGTGTGAACTTCTAAATTTTTTTCTTGATGTCTGTTTTCTTGTGAAGAGTTTGCAATTTCGATTTAGTTTTGACCTAGTGAGCCCGGATTTCCGTTTGGATAAACTGTTGTATGAGATCTGAAACTTCCTGACAATCTATTCTCACTTTCTCCCTTGTGTGAACACACCATTTATACCATAACACCCACAACACCACTTTCCTTCCTAAATTAAACAAGTTATGTTGCAAGACCGACAACTCTTGCGTATATGGATTCCAATGGCCCAAAAGTAGTGCCCGCCAGTCCAACCCTGTTAGTCTATTCCATACATAGTCCCATTGCCTCCATAGCAACTTGGACCCCGGGCATTCCAAAAAATGGTGTTCAATGGTGTCTTTGATTTTTCTGCTTGGAAAAACTTCAATACAGGTTTGACACCAAGGTAGTGTCAACCCTCGTTGTGTAAGGATGAATGATCTATTAACCAGTCATTCACTAGTAAACACCGATGATAAATCTGCCATTGCAGCGAGGCGAACTTAGTCGGTTGCTCCTTAAAACCTTTGCACCACCGAACATGTTTAAGAAAATCTAAATAGATATTCAGATGACGAGCCCAACGATCTTGCATTATAGCAGGTGCATCCACCTTTGGTTGTAATTTGTGATAAGATGCCTTGACTGTCAAAGTCTGCAACTTTTGTGGCTTATTCCAAACCCAATTGACAGGACCAAAAAAAAAAGTTTGAGAATAAGGGGATCTGGATAATATACCCGCCAACCTTTAGAGGATGAAGAATACAACACTCGTATCCTATAGAGGGAGTTGAATGGAAAAAAAAAAACGCTATCTTGTTCTTCTTGTGACAATGAATGACCCCGGTGGAGCAGAAATAAATTAACTAATGCCGCATCTGGGTGAATATCTATTACTTGACCCACCACCTTAGTTTCATTGGGCCTATAGCCGCATACCTGACTTCCATGAACATTGGACTCTTCTTCAATGCAACCAAACATGCCAAACGAAGGCAGGAAATAATTCGATCAAAATTGTCTTGTAGGTTATGTGCATACTTAATTTCCTTCTTTAGTCGTTCCACTGATTTCCATTTTTTTGTAACCGGATCTCCTTGATTCGCATAATACCATTTTTAACTCAGGTAGACGAGGGGGGATCGGAATTAATATAAACACTCCCACTAGGATCAGTGATCCAACGGTTACGAAAAATGGGTTCAACTTGCCGAAAAATTTCTTCATACCTCGAAGGAGAGACTTTATTAGGAAATGGAAACTTATACCATGTTTTCAATAATATTGTCTAGACTCTAGAAGTTATCCAAAACAAAGTGCTTCCTAATCTCACCCTCTCTCCTCCGTTACGAGAAAGGGAATGTGCACAAGGTATACACCAAAAACGATCCTCCACCCAGGTAAGAGGATGGACGTCGTCTTTAGAAATAAGGGTCAATCTACGAATTTGTTCCAGCGCTTGCCATCGGAGATCGGTTACAAAGATCAAAGTTTTTAACCATTGAAGCACAATGCTTGACACTGTATTGTTGGGTTCAAAATCCTCAACCCACATTCGACTTTCGGTTGAATAAGGGTAGGCCAAACTACTATAGGGATCAAATGAAGGGACTCACTAGCTCCTCGCCAAAGAAACACAGTGAGTTGCCTCTTGAAATCCTTGGAAGGAATTTTACTTAATGACCATATGTCATATGACTGATTTATACCATATAGAGGCTAACACCACATTGTTGATGAGAAGTGCGTGGCCAAACAAAGATGTATGTTGATTTCCTTTACTCCATTTTTTTCAATGTCGGAGTAAAGATCCATAAATCATTTGTATTAGGTGTCCCTTGTGCTGTGAAAAGTACCCCCAATACCCTAATTCGAGCCTTAACTCCCGGTCTCTCTGGGGGACGATCCCCTTCGGAATGAATCCACCATCCCTGTGTTTGGCTCCCCAAATTGACCACCATATCTGATACTTGATAGAACTGGTCCATTAATGCTTTAATTTCCTCGAAATTACTTGGATGCCTCCATCATAATAGTTAGGTCATCGACAAACATGTAGTCAATAGGTATTGCCTCCTCAGGAATTCCTAAGATTTGGAGACGCTGAATATTAGGATTGTGATGGATATTGACCCCTCATACTTCCATAATGATCAAAAAAAGAAAAGGTGTTAATGGGTCCCCTTGTCGCACCGATCTCTGCAGACGAATCTCAGGGAGAGCATAACCTGGACTCTTGTGGCAGCATTAGAGTGTAGGATATGCACACACCTTTATGACTAGAGGCCTGAATTTGCCTGTAGTATTCCATAACATCCTCTATGAAGGTAGGCCACATGATCTCCCAAAATTCCTTGAGTAGACCATCCACACCTGGGGTCTTATCCTCCTCCATTTGTAACAAGTTTGTCCAAATTTCATCCGTAGTTATTGGATTTTCCAATCCTTCCCTCTGTTCCCGGGAAAGTGATTGTGTGAGGAGCGCCAGAAAGTCTTGCATGACAAGATCAGCTTCAAACACATCCACCCTAGAGACAAAGAGATCTTTAAGGAAATAATATGCTACCTTAAGACTACTGGCCGAAGTGATTGGGCCCTCCTAAGGGGGTGTGAGTGGGTCCACCAAGCCTTTTCTATATTCGATCTCCTAGCCCTTGTCTGCGCAAGCGCAAAAAAGAGGTGTCCATCTGACCCTCTGCCGATGCTTGGTAAGCTTGCCTCTAATTAAATGACCTTGCCAACGTTGTTGAGTAAAGGTGAGTAGCCGATTCTTTAGACTCATAATGTCAACCGGTTGGGGAATCACATCAGGTTGATCATATTGTTCGTAGTAAAGAATTTGTTCCTGTAACTCTATTTCCTATGCATGTCTGTTTTTGGCAATTAATTTAAAATACTCGTTAGACTTCTTGGCTGCAAGTATTACGTTATTTTTACTCTAACATTCCTACGAGCGTCTTTCCACCGTATCTTCTTTTGAATTGGATAAATTGTTGCTTAGGCTTCCTTGTGTATTGCATTCCTTTACTCCGAAAAAATCCTTTCTCATAATTTTGATGAACTACTTGCGCGTAGGGAGGTCATTCAAATGCTGGATTGTTGTTTGTATCCGTTCCTTGAATTGCTCCCCAATTTCATTACAGAAACGAAAAAGAACTCAACTGCAGTTTTGTTTCGAGAGCATACTCAAGCACGCTAGATTTTTCATGGGTATATCTGACAGATTCAGATTCTGCCTACAATTACAACCCATCCTGGATATAGCTAACGAGATTTACAGCCAGAATTCATGAAAAGGTTCTTGTGCGAGTATTATCACATGATCTGTTTTGTTTGCTTGACTTGGTTCCAGGCTGGAGGAGGTTGCAAATCACACCAGGAGTTATGGGGGTGGATCTGACTGCAACTATGCCCCATCCTGAATGTATATGACCAGAATTATAGGCATAAAAAGAAAAGAAAAAGAATCAGTTTAAATGACCTGTACATTTGTGCCTCTTTTGTACGGGGCAGATTCCCACTGCGTGCCAAGCTTTGCCGAAATGCCACTGCGGCGTTTTTGTTTTAGTTTTGGGTGGCGCCGCCAGCCATTTTGGTTTGGTTGCCCCGAGCCCCCGATTGTTTCGGAGAGGCTCAATCGTGATTCTCAAGTCGGCTGGGGCCATGTACTGGTGGTGCAAAAGGTCCTTTGTGTCAGTATTATTTCCTGATTCCCTTTCTTTGATTGATTTGGTCCCAGGCTTAAGGAGGTTTCAACGCTAGTCCAGAGGAGAAGGGCAAGTGATCCCACGCTCGTGAAACTTTCAAAGATTGCCCTAGATAACCTGGTGAGCACTTAAATCCCTTTCGCCTCCGTGTTGTACTCGTTGTTCAAATGTCTTTCCCTTCATCTCTTACTCCAGCATAGTACAATGACTCACACAATTGCAGCCTAAAATGCTCATGCTTTAATCCGATTGCTAAGGAATCTGATTCTGAGTCTGTTCTGCTGTGTTTTTCAAGTATGTGATCTGCCACTAATGTGAGTATGTCGCACGCTCTGAGTCCACGTGCTAACTTCGTTGGCCATGTTCTGTCCTGCGCCTCGAACAGGAGCAAAGTAGAAGGTTGGCTCTGGGACAGGATGGGAAGCTAGCCGGAGGGACATATTGGGAGCAGAGTAGCGGCCAGGGACAAAAGTAGAATTTGTTAGAGTCCAGTAGGGATTCTCCGGTAAGTCGGTTGGGCCAGAAAGGGCCCGGTAGACATCCAGCAGGTAATGATGGTCCAAAACCTGAATGTAGGCTGGTAGAAGTCCCAGTTCAGGGTCTATAGGGAGATATCAGTCTGCAACGATGTTCCCTCCCAAAGGGGGAACACCCAGTAGGCCTTGTGCACCCAAGGCAGGCCGAGTGGATGCAGATAGTGATTGGCCAAGAGGTAATCGATGGCAGGCAGCCGAAGTATCTCATTCAATGGAATGAGTGCAGCAGATCTCTCATTCCCTTGCCAAGCAGTCATGCTTCTGCTCCACCCAGAGGGAGAGGTTGGCAGAGCTCCTGCGGGTGAAGATGGAGCTTGAGGGTGAAGTAGACAGCATCCATGGCTGTGGAGTAATAGGGAGAGGTAGGAGAAGCCCTAGGCTATGGAGGTGGAGGGAGAAGACCTTCCAGCCGGGCTATGGTGACAGAGGTTGAAGGTGTGGTGATATAGGGAGGGAGATGACATTGGTTCCGACTTGTGTTCTTTTTCTTCTTCTTCTTCTTCTTCTTCTTCTTCTTCTTTCCTCCATCCATTTCTGTCCTTGACTCATTCTTCTTCTATTTGAGTTGCAATGAATTGCACTGTCTCAGAATTGAGCTCTGGATTGTAAAATGAGCAGGATCATAGCAAATTCATATCAGAGCTTGCCTTACATGCTGGCAAGAGGCGATCAAGCTGCACTGACCCTAACCAAGATGATGAGGGCAAGTTAATCTCAGATAGGGCTGGAGAGAGCCAGAGTGTGGTGGCGAGAAGATGGGAAGCTGCACCAACCCAAATCTGAGCTGAAGATCAAATTAGTGTAAGGTTTGAGGCATTATGGTGGTGAGGTGATAAAAGAGGTGAATATGAGTTGAGTATGAGAGGAGAGGGGCAAAAGGACGCTTCTAGATGTGCAGGGCATTTAAGGAGACATGGGGTTCACCTACAAGACTGCTTCTACTGTGAAGGATGCAGAAGCCATAGCTACAGGAGCATCAAGAGACAGAAGAGCCTTCAAGGACCTGCCGACAGTGTGCGATGCAGTGTTGGCATGCAGGAGTTCCGACTAGTCTTGGTGCACTGTAGTTGTTAGGAAAACCCATTAGTCGTGAGCAGTCAGGACATAGTAGAGGGAGGTGTGACTTTCTGCTCTGAAGTGATTAAGTGCCCCCATGACCAGTGGATGGCCAGTATGGATGGTTGTGTGGTGTGTCATGCCCGAATGGATGTATGTATGAACGTTGATGAGTTCTGTTCTGTCTGCACATTGTTTTTGTCATTTGTGTTACGATCCTGGTCACTTCCAAAGTGAAAATTCACAAGGAAAGACAATGCCACCCAATTGCGAAAGAAATGAAAGCACATGCAAAGAGATAGAGACCAAAGACGAGAGAAAGAAGAAGAAGAAGAAGAAGAAGAAGAAGAAGAAGAAGAAGAAGAAGAAGAAGAAGAAGCTGTACACCAGCAAGACCACTGACAAGTCCCCCTTCTCTCTCCACCTTCCTCCTTCTCCTTCACTTCTCCAATCTTATTCTTCTTCCAATAATAATAATAACAATGACTGGATGAACCAGAATCAATAGCCGAAGTTCCCTCTTCCTGCTGACACAACAACAGGTCCACCATTGCCATGGCTCCCCCTTCTCCCTCCTCTCACATGTCTTGGCTATGGCGGACTTCTAAGGGCTCTGTCCTTCTGTCCAAAGGACAACCCAAGGCAGCTATGGCGCTGCCCTCCTGTCCAAAGGACAACACAAAGCAGCTATGCCGCTGCTCACTAAGCTGCCACGCCTGACTCTGCCTCGAGCTTCCTTGGTGTGGCACTACCCCAACTGGGGCTTTCCAGATGCAGCGCCTGTCAAGGTGATGACGATGGTGTCCACCATAGCCAGGTAGGTACCTCGCCGCTCTCCTCCTTCGCCCCCTTCTTCCCCCTCCTCAGGCTGGGCTGCTCGCCATAGCCAGGCGGAGCGCCCAACTGCTCTCCTCCTCCAGGCAGTGCTTCCAAGTCCAGCGCTTGGCTCCAGCAGTATGTCGCCAATCCTTGCACACCGCAAATGAGGAGGAGCTGCTTGCTCCTCCTGAAGATATAGCGGCCTACTTGCCTCTTGGGCGGTGACTTCCTAGGCCTCCCGGCCTCCCAATAACCGGTACCGCCTCCCTTTCGGAGGGAAACATGATTGCAGGCTCTGATATCACCCGTACAGGCCCTTGACTCAGGCTACTTGGACTGGTACCGGCCTATCTCTAACCTACCGCTACTGGGCCTCTAAAAATGCCAACTTTTGTCTTCTTCTGCTCGGCCTCCAGTACCCGACACTACCGGCCTACCTGCTACTTGAGTGTTTTTCCCCGCTGCAACCCTCAAAGTCACGCCCACAGGTAAGTACCGGCCCTGTGGGGCCTCTCAACCAACAAGTACCCTTGCGGGTCACACACCACTCAGGCCGACAAGCACTCAGACAGGCACGCAGACCAGCAGGCCCACACACAAACACAGACTTAGAAATCACAGCAGAATGCGGGAATCTCAGCAAGGCGTACATTCCAGCGGCAAATCCCAGAAATCAGCAGTGTTCTCAGCCTGTGGTTTGGCGGGTCATTACATTTGATCTTCCTCGCCCATCTCACCAAGCATTCTCTTGCATTCGTTTCCACAGTTTGTGATCTTTCCAAAGTCAGTTGCTATGAGTGGTTGCACTTGGTGAATGATTAGGCAAGGACGCACTTACTAAGGGGGTGATTAAACCTTGTCGAGGCTGAATGTGGGCTGGAGGGAGGATCTAAGGTACATACTACTTGCATACTCACCGGATCTTTCAACAGAGTTCAGCCATTGGAGACTGGATAATCTTCTCAGCACCCCACATGGGTGGTAAGTGTTGAAAGTAAGGAGAGATTGGTCTGGACGGTGGGGGCTCTACATATTTTTGTTGATCACACACTGTTTTTTTGAGTTACCTCCATCTGAACTAGTCGGTGCTCCAGCAAGAAGCATTCTATCTTCCTTTTTCTACTTTGGCTCATTTGAACTCTTGTGTGGAAGAGCCTATTGCTAGACACACACATTATCAAATCCGAGAAAGAGAGACGAGAGAGGAGTCCGAGAAAGAGAGAAAGGAGGAAAAGACAACACTACGCCCATAGATCTAACTTCTAACATTACGGGGACCTTGTTGAGAGTTCCCCTGGTGTGGGATGGAAAACTAATCCATTGAGAATAAGAGGGGACACCCTTCATCAGGAATTGGAACAATTAGAAGGGGAATTAAAGAGAGAGCACGCCGAGGAGGCGGGAGCGGTCTGAAAGGCCGTCATTCTATAAACACTGACATTCCAGACCTCAGGACATTTTGTGCCAAGGAGTGAGCAAATACGCAACAGATACCTATGAGCTCATTCTCACTATCTGGTCTAGGTTGGACAACACAGCGTTAGAGAATGCAGAAGATCAAAGAACTGTGCAAGTGGTTCTGCAAGAGCAGGACTTACTAAAGGCGCACCAGATTGTTGAGTTTGGAGCAACACAACCTGCTAACCAGCCACAGATAGCCGCTGCCTCTGTTGCAAATGCTGCAGACCCTCCACCTGACCCTCTGTCCTCTAAAGTCATCACCACTGACCCAAATACCTCCTCAAATGTTGAGGCCAAAGTTGCTTAGCAGCCAATGGTCAAGAGGGTAAAGGCACATGAGAAGTTTCCAGGTAAGCACAACGTGGACGGATGGATTGGCGAAGTCAGACTGTATTTCGACCCTGCTAACACTCCTGTAGAGGCGCGGCCATTGGTGATGCCCTCCGTGCTCGAGTCCCATCCGCATGTCAATGTCTGGCTTTATGCTGAGGCAGCCAGAGCATGATATGGCACAGAGACGTACTCCAAGTGTTGAGCAAATGCCATGTGCTCAGATCTTCACCCTGCTCAAAGGACATAATGAAGATCATCAAGAGGGAACAGGGAGCAGGGGTAGAGTAGCTTGCTTTAAAGTGCTACACCTGGCCGGCCCTTAATGGGCTGATGAAGAGGCGTTCTCTATCCCACTCACTTTCATGTACATGATCTGAATTGTATTATTGGGAACACTGGACCCGCTTTCCAGCAGGTGAGGCTCCCCACCAATGGATCGGAACCACCAGTGAAACAGCTAGGAGTGCATGCTCCTACCATCACTTCTAGCTGTAATAGCTGGTGTTGTTTTAATTTTTTTCCCAAAAAAAAAGAAAAAGAAAGAAAAGAAAAAAAAAGGAAAAATCTGGACATTTCCGGATAGCTCTATCAAAGAGCTGAATCAAAAAGCCAGGTCCTATCTCTGGTCAGGAGACCCTAACAAAGAAAATGGCATACCCAAGATTGCCTGGCATTATGTCACAAGAAGTCCGCAGAGGGGAGGTCTAGGAATTATAGACCCTGGAACGGAGACGAAAGCCCTACAGACCAAATGGATTATTAAACTCCTGATGAATCCTGACACCGCATGGGATAAACTAGCCTTGGATAGTGTCAGAGCCTTGGCCCCGGCACCTTCGCCAGAAGACATGGCAGGGCTGTTCTGGGTAATGAATAAGGAATGGGTTATGACTACAGGGCGAAGGAATCGAAGGA